CAGCCTCGGAGGTGTGACCTCAACACTTCAGCACAAGGGCCTTTCAAGGAGTGTCAGATGGTGTTCCTTCTCTATTCAAAACTCTTCACTGGCCTCTCCGAGGTCCTTTTTGTAATTGAGATGACCGTACGTGATCTGACCCCTCAGACCTCGCCTTCTCTTCTCTGGCCACTCCGGCTTCCTCATTGACCTTGAACATTCCAAACAGGCACACACCCCTCCCGCACATGTCCCCCCACCATGCCAGATAGCTGCATGGCAAGCCCCTTCACTTTCTTTATGAACCTTGTCTGGCCACCCTATCTAACATCTCAACACCCACCTCCTGACATTTCATATACTCTAGCCCTGCCTCATAAAAATGACTCTCTTTAGCACTCATCAATCAACATTATGTATTTTACATTTCACTTATTTATGAAATTAACAATCATAAATCAAAACTATATATTTAACTTATTTTTCTTATTGTTTTGTCTTTCCCCATAAATCTGCTCCATAAGAAGAGAAATAATTACCAGCTTTGCTCATCATTGTATCCTGATCATTTAAGTACAAAGCCTACCATATGGTAGACTCAATGAATACTTGTTGAATGAAAGAGTGAAGCAAAGTTAACTATGGCATAATAAATATTACAACTGCATTTATATATTTCCTTCTTGATAGTTATAAAAAAATTCTATCCAAACCATAAGCAAGTCAAACTGCAATATAAAAAAGGAAGTCACCAAATCTATAACCTTAAAATGATTCAAACCCAAATTGAGGGACGTTCTATAGCGTACTTGATCAGTACTCTTCAAAAATGTCAAGGTCACCAAAGACAAGGAAAAACTGAAGAACTGTCACAGATCAGAGGAGGCTAAGGAGACATGAACACTAAATGCAATGTTGGGTCCTGCATAGGCTCCTGGGACAGAAAAGAGGACAGTGAAATTCAAAAAAAGATCTGTAGTTTAGCTACTAGTACTAGACAATGTTAATTTTCTGGTTTTGATAATTTCACTAAGATGATGTAAGAGGTTAAAGGGCCAGGGAGGTAGCCTACCTGAACAAACATTATTACATCTAAAGGTCTAAACATCTCTTCATACTCCAGGAAGGAATCATTTAAATAATAAGTGTGTTTCCTAAATGAATAATAAGAAGTCATTACCAAACAAGGTGTTTGATCACACCTCGCATATATGTAAAATGCATATATGATATCCATGTTCTATTTTGTATTAACACTTTCAAACTAACTGAAAAAGAAATACATTTCATTATTACTATTTTTCTCATAATTCATTAGTGATTTTATTTGGAATCAGAAACATGGCATCTTTTCTTCTGTAGCAAAATATCAGTCACAGTATTTTTTTCACTGTGATATATGAGTATGGTATGCAGCTCTAAATACTTAAACTGGGGTTGATAGATGGTTTTTTCAGATTTATTTTTAGATGCATATTTCTAAAAATAAGCTCTTTCCAACATGGATAGAATTATTGTAAATAGTTCTTACAAGTAGGGTGATCTCCAAGATGTGTGTATAATCCTGATTTTCGATGTCATCATATTTAGTCTTCAATATCATTTTGTACTACAGTTTAATAACTTCAAATCATAGCCCTTCACTTGTATTGTCAAAAATTAATTAAGAAAACTAAGCTAAATAATATTAGTTGGTTTTCATAAAGTTTGAAATTCAGTATTCAATGGCCCAGTTTCGGGGAATAAATTTCAGGCTCTCAATTTCATTTCTGGAAACGGATTGCAATGTAGGAAAGAGGACCGAATTATTCTTTAACAAATGAATTTCTCAAAGACTAGCTTGTCAGAATGCAGAGAAGCAAATGAAACATTTATGAAAATACCTGTGAATGCCCCATAGAAAAATACTCAAAAAGTGTAGATTTGTAATGTCAGCAAGAAACTTGGAATTTCGAGCCAACCTTTGCTGTTAAGTGGAGATTGGACTGCTCCCTTTGATAACATGAATAGTTTTTAAAAATCTCCATCATCACAGCACAAGTAAGCCAGCAAATTCATCAAGCAGACACTGACCTGATTTTGCTCCAAGATACAGAACAGCCGATTCATGATATTAATTACTGAAACCATGGCTTGTCTCATTTTAGCTTTTTAGCCCAAAGCAACTCCTGATGAATGAGAAAATTAATGGGTTTATAGACATAAATGTTTAGTGCCCCTACCAAGTACTGCTGCCCAGGGACCTGGGGCTCCAATGTCAGCCCCTTGTATAGTAACATAACTTGGAATAGTGCATCCTACATCCAATGGTCTGAGACCTTTCTCATTACAGACTAAGCCATTTCCTGATATTTTACCTCACAGGACTCCTTGTTCAAAAGTTCTATGACCCTCTAAAATTCTCAAAATATCACAAATAAATACAGTGTGCTATTATTTATGTCTGTGTTCTCATTTGCTGCAATAGAAAATGTCAACAATAATTTAACTTATCCTGAAATTTCTCCACCATATTTTTAACATGCTGAGCTACAGTGTTTCTGACTATACTAAAATTTGCAAGTGCTTGTTTGTGCTCTGGACATATAATTTCTGCTGCAATAAAAGACACTCTTTTATAAAAGCATTGTCTATAAAATGGTTTTGCTGCCCCAGCCATTTTTTTCACTTAATAGAGAACCGCATTTCACAGCAGATCACTTATTTTACTCTCATTCAAGAACAAACCCTAACATTTTACCAGTCCATTAAGCTTCTCAATGCCCATCTTTTCTATATACCACTCATGGCTGTTTTTATTATGGTGCCTTAAGATGTAATTTTTTGTGTGTGAACAGTCTTTGTTTGGATATTCTCCACATCCGCCAAAAAAAGTACACTCTTATTTTTTTTACTTGAAATACTCAACTCTGTGTTTTAGGAGATGTATAAGTTCATTCTTTCTGTTAATTTTACAATAAGAAAAATATCAGTAAACATGTGGTGGGAAATAACAACTGCATGTGATTTCAGTGTTGGAAATGCTACCAAGGAAGGTGTCCAACCTTTGTCTAACCGCGGAGGGCAGAGTGCTTCCAACAGAAGACATTGTCCCTTGGAGTCAGGGGTGTCTGCACTGTGGGGACACTGCCCTCTGTTAAGAGAAACTGGAAGGGCTGGCCGAGTGGCTCAGTTGGTTAAGAGCTCGCTCAAGAGTTTGAGCTCTGAGCAACAGCGGTTCGAGTCCAGCCCGAGCTGAGCAGCCGCTGAGCTGCCAATAGGTAGCAGGATGGCTCAGCTAAAAAAAAAAAAAAAAAAAAAAAAGAGAAACTGGAAAAGAGACATTTTTTTAAAAATCTTCAAAGTATTTAAATGTTGGTAGCTTATTCAAAATTTATTAAAATGGGAGGTGGGTGAACTTTGTTTTAACCAGACAAGTCTGCAAGTGAGTGCAGCCTATGGACTGTCCACTGGCACCCTCTGAGGTTGCACAGTAAAATAAACAGTAAAATAACTTATATCCTACCTTGGTTTTTGTCCCTGGGAACAAAGAAGGGAAAACATACAATTACATCAAAATTCTATGGAGCACGAAATCCAAGTGCCATAATTAATTTGGAGATATTCTAAGGAGGCAACAAGATGCAGCGACGGGGGTACCCTTCTTGAAGCCAGGCATGTGTGGGGGGGATCATAGGTATTTCACTTATTAGGTTGGTTGACATTAGATTCCTGATCTGGAAATAGAAATAATAAAATTGCCTTGTAAGTTTTCCAAAATGATTGGAGGTGAAAGTATGCAAATTTCTCAGCATACTGTTGGCATTTGGAAGGTTTTCCATAAATGGTAGCTATGACTGTTATTATGGAGTACGAAACATGAGTTTCCAACAGTATTTCTTTGTATGCGCCCACAAATACCAATTGTGCCTGCACTGCTCTCACTCTGACCACCCCTCTCATTCTGTGTTATGTTTCCTCATTAGCCCAATGGCCCATGCCACAGCTTATCAGGATGCTCTAAAGTTTTTTACCTCCTTGCCTTGCCTGTGTTTTTACCTATAATTGAATCTCTGTCCCTTCCTTCTTCATTCAGTCACCTCCTTTGCAATTCAACCAAAGTGTTACCAATTCTACGAAGTCTTTCTTGAGTGCTACCCCCCTCCAGTCTAGGTAGAATACTCGCTGCCTTTCTGCCTTGCATCTGCTTCAGTCACAGTATTGTAAACTGTGGGAGGAAGGAATTGGATTAACGACCTTATTGTCCCTACCACCTGGGTGCAACGCCTTTGCCTGGCATGCAATTAGGGTTCAAAAGGTGGATCAGTGAGGGAAGGAATGAATGAGGTGACTGTAGACCAGAGTGACAAGAGCCCACCAGTGCCTGGCTGCTGGTTATGCCTCGCTCCCCTTGCCTTCCCAATCCTCACTCCAGCTCCTCTACTCCCAGCCCCAAACCAATGGAGAGTTCCATGTTGGAGTAGCAGGCCACGACAGAGAAGGTGGTTAAGTGCCTCCTACTGGGGCTTGAAAGTGGGGACTGGAAGGACGGGTGAAAGGGTTCCTTTTGAAAGGTAACAGGGAATACAAAACAGAGTCCCTTGTTGGAGACAAAGAAGGGAAGAACCATAACCCAAGGTCTTACCTTCACTTTCAGAACTGGTGGCTTCTTAGCTAAGTGTGAGCAAAAGTGGGTATATGGCCAGAGTGCGCATGGCAGCACTGCTTCCTGCACACTAGAATGCATGGTTCTATGTCAGAGTTAAAAGCATTTTGTAAGATAGGGCTGCTCTTAGCCTCTATGATGCCTTTGAATGAACAAAGGGCACCCCTTCCTCCAGGGGGGTGCAGACCCTGCCGACAACTTAGTGAGAAGAGGGGGGTGGGCTGGACTTCAGCCCCCCAGTGCCCCTCACCCAGGCACCTTCATGAACAACCAACCTATTGAAGTGGCCTTGTCATAAAAAAACATGTTTCCTCTCATTATACACAATATTAGAAAAATGATTATAATTAACGTGCAAATATTTATTCTTTTCTAGGAACATGGGTGACATTTGGAGGTCAAGTTTCAGATGAAGTAAGTTACTTTTTGTTTCCATTATGCTGATCAAAGAAAATACAAAGAGAGCTATATGGCTGAAGTATTCTTCCTGGGATCCTGGCTTCTTGCACGGATAATATTTTAATCACAGGAAACTGTCAAGATTGACTCAAAGATTATTTTCAATTTTATCTTGCTTCTTTTTGTATTTTTCACATTTAGACTATTAATCCTGAGGCTGTCCATGTATTATATGTGCAGGCTGAATAGAGAAGAAACCAGTTTGGAGTTAATATTAGTCACTTTATGAAAATATTTTATTGCTGTTGTTTGTTTTAGCTTCACCTAGGGTGACCAGCTGGTCCCAGTTTGCATGAACCTTCACATTTTAGGCTGGGGTTTCTCAGTCCTGGACAAACCAGGACAGGTGGTCACCCCGACTTGGGCAAGTTCATCTGACTCCCATGGGTCTCAGTTCCCCCTACGTGAAATGGGATGATGATGTAGACCTGGAAGGTCTGTAGAAAGGATTAAGCTTGTTGTGCATATCAGACATTTCTATAGCCCTTTGACTAATAGGTAGCTAACACTCAATAAATGGCAGCTGTAATAATTATATTTACCATAAAATTCCTTTAAATCTTTGTTTACACGTTCAGAAGAGTGCTGACCAAGGTGACATTCTTAACCGTTGCCCTAAGGAGTACATACCTCCATGGCATAAGTGAGCTAAGCTGGCAATGCCCTCCAGACCCTCCGATCCTTCCTTGTCTGCCTACAACACCACCGATGGCGTATCTGAGTGGATACACTCAGTGGGATTCAGCCCACCCTATCATTGACTAACTAGATTTACTACCATTTACATCTACTAACAGTGGCACAGCAGTAAAAATCAGAGGGGTCCTGGTTAAGATGAATAAGGTGATGCCTAGAAGGTGCTTAGACCGGTACCCAGCCCAGAGCAAGCCCTTTGTAAAGGTAGTTCTTACTATCATTCCTAAGCAGAACCCTGGGGAACCCCCTGGTTCTTTTCCGTAGCTCCCAAAGTCACCAGCATTATTTAACAGACCCTGGGGGAAAAGTCTTAGCTGCATATTCTTATCTGAATGCCTGTTCCCAGTATTGGGCACAGGTTACTCTAGAGAGTGTGTCACATGGGGGATTCCTTGAGAAGCAGACCCTGAGCTGAAGATTAACATTCAGAGCACATTTAGGAAGTGCTCTCAGGATCAACACAGGGCAGGGAGGGAGGCAGAATTGGACAGAGAAAGAAATTGAGCCATTTTGCAATCTCAGCAATGACCTCAGCTGACCCCATGGGGAGCTCCGAAGCTGAGACGGCCTGCAGGGTTGTCCCAAGTTGGGGCAAGAGGAGTGAGCATTTGTATCCCTTGTAGGACCAGTCAGTGAATAGAGGCTGCCTTGGATAGCAGGCCTAACCTTGGGCTAGGCAACTCTCTTTAGCCAAGTGCAATTTCCAGAGAGGGCTGATAGCTGAAGGCCATCTGATGTCAGCATTCCTAGCAGCTATGGGAATAAGTCCTTCAGTTCTGAAGGACGATCTAAGTGGCCATCACAGAGTCCACTATAGGGCCCTCTGACTGGCATTAGGTAGAGTGTATGGAGGAGGCACAGAGGCAAGTCCACAGATATCAGAGCAATGACCACAGACTTACATACAAAATAAGTGACAAGTAGGGAAGGCGGTCTACAGTTAATAATCCACTATATCCAGTATGTGCCTAACCTTCCACTGCCTGGTGTGGTGCCTCCCTTTTGCAGCAGAGGGGCCAACTGTAAGCATGTCAATTTCCCCTTCATCTTTGCTTTCCCTGTTGCAGTCTCAGCCACTCTGCTGCAAGGAGCCCAGGCTTCCCAGGTCAGAGTGTGACCAGCTGGGCTCTGAAACAAATTGTTTCAAAATTATGGTACTAAAATCTCAACAACACATTTTTCATGAACGGCAACAGCTCTCAACTCAGGTGCAGACCAGACAGATAGCTACTGTCCTCCCAGAGAGCAGCTGTGACTTCCCCCCCAGGTCCCTGAGGAGAGAGTGCCAGTCGCCAGGAGGAAGGGAGGCACAGCAGGCCAGTCACACCAGTGGGCGAATCGCTTAAATTCATGGCAGAAATGCGGGTCAATAGCAACAAATTCACCTCCCCAGATTTTCCCACTTTGCCTTCAGATGAGCTCAGCACAAAGCAAGGACAATTATGGAATCCAGGAATAACCACACAGTGATGTGCTGGGTGACGCAATCACCAGTGCTGCCTCAGAAGGTGGGGGTGTCCCCATTACTGGGCGAGTTCAACCATAGATTGAGTAGCCACTTGCCAGGCATATTATCAAAAGGATTTAAACATGAAAACCAGATAACTCTGTGAGGTGCCTCCCAAAGATGAGAGCTTCAGCAGAAAACCAAGATAGCTGTTACTCATATGAAATAATGTTACATTATCATCTTATAAGGCACTTAATTTTCAGACTTTTATTTACATGTTCTCATCTGTAAGGCAGTTAGTTTTCCTTCAGTTGCAGGTAACTAGGCACTCAGATTGGCTTAACCAATTAGGAAATAAGTTATTTTGACTTTCACGCTAGAAGAGTAGACGTAGAGCAAGGTTCGGGGTTGACTCAACCAGTGGCCCCCACTTCATTTCCCAGTGGTTCTCTTGGTCCTGTATTCCTTGTATTCCTTTGTGTATTGACTGCATCCCCTGGTAGTAAGAGAGCCCTAGGAATGCCAGGCCTCAATTAGAACGGGAAGCCCAGAGAAAGAAAGGGGAGGTCAGCTTCCTCTAGGCCTATGAGCTCCATGGGGGATCTGAACAGAATCATCCTCCTTTTGCAGATGAAGAAACTGAAATACAGCGAGTTCAAATGACTTGCCCGAGTTCATTTATCTAGTAACTAGTCCACTCAAGGCCAGAAGCCGGTCTTCTGACTTAGTTCAGTGATTTTATTATTCCATATTGAGGTCTTCAAATCCTACAGTTGAGAAACGTCTCAGCAATCATTTAGTCCAACTCTTCATCCAAGATTCTCCATCTTAAGACGTCTCTCTCTATAAAATTTCCCAGTAATAATCCACCAGTACGTCATGTGACACATAACACAAGGATAATGTATAATACATGCACAATAATATCTTACACACAGGACACTCATCATGAGAAAGACTAGTCTTAACTTTTAATCTCTACTCAGGGTAAATGTCATAATAGTACCAAATTAAAAGCAGTCATAGCATCTTTGCTGCTATTTTTCTAAAGGATTTGCAGGATCTCCATTTTGCTAGCCTAACAATTTTCTTGATCAGCCAACTTTAAAAACAACAAAAAAATAGTTTATCTTGGATATGCTGATGAAGCAACTTTAGCCCACAATCAAAAGCATAATGGAAAAATCAATTTTAATTATTTGTGAGGTATGTAATTTCTCAGTTGACTAATAAGTCTATCAGCAAAATGAAAAATGTCCCCTCACCGCTGTTGTTTTTGGCTGTCCCTCCACAGCTATCCCTCAGGCTGTTGTTTACAGCTGTCCCCACGCACACTCTTCTGTCACACTTGCCCCTTGCGATCAGCAGCACAAATGAAGGAACAAGGGGCCTGCAGATCTATTTTTGGGCTGACAGGAAGGAGCTGGACCCCTGGTGAGCCAGTACCTCGCTCCTGCCTTTCCCTGTCCGTTTGGCTGGCTGGCCACTCTGTGACGGTGTCTGAGGTGTTGCTGAGATGTGGGTGGCAGGATTTACAACAGCCACAGCTCTCTCTGTCTAACCTTCGATTCATTAGTACAGTCTGCTAAGTCTTGAGGGAAAAAGGCACAAAGTTTTCGGCCACGAGTCACCCAGGTACCACAACCTATTCGCTAGGAGAAGGGAGAAGAGCATGGAGTCGGCCACAATACAAATCATCCTCTTGTCAGAGAGATTACAGTGCCACAGACAATGTTGTCAAACCAGGTCTTCCCAGCACAGAGAGAAACAAATCTGCCTGCCTAACAGTGCTCCTGACCACTGGCTAACCTCAGCGTAGCCATCAAAGGAAGTTCCTTAGCATCCAGGTAGATGTCTGGGGGGAAGGCTATGCTACCCCATATCTGCTGGTCGAATCTTCTTGTTTTCTTCTTTACTACAAGTGAGAAAAACAAGGAGTAGTTACTGGGATTTCAGTGTTCTCAAAGACCACTAGGGGACTCAAAGACGCTGCCCATGTTTGGAAAGCATCTGGCTTTCCCGACTGACCTTCGCGTCCTCTTGCAGGTTGCTGAACGGCTCATGACAATTGCCTACGAAAGTGGAGTGAATCTCTTTGATACCGCCGAGGTCTACGCCGCTGGAAAGTAAGTCAGTACCTCCTTGCGTCCCTCAAGTGGCACCTCTAGAACCAAGAGACTCTGCCCAAACCATTGCTGACATGCTGGTGAGAAGGGTCTGCCCTTTCCACACATGCTGATGGCACTGCTTTTCTCCCTCCCTCTACCACCATCACCAGGTTTAGGGATATTGACCATCTCCAACCGCCCCTCCGCTCCCCCGCCCACCCAAACCTTCCCTCCTCTGGTTCCTGCGTGATGAATGGACTGGAAGCAATGGCCAGGGGAAGAGGTGGCTGGGGCCAGAGTGGTGGCATGGAGATCAATAAATGTTGGTTGGATAGATGAATGAGCAAATAAATGAACAGATTACAGTGTGGTTGTTCAAAAGCTAGTCTCGTTATTTCATAACCACATCTCATAGTTCCTCAGCCCCCGAGAGAAGCTGGGCTGTCCTCTCTGCAGGGAAGCAGGCTTGCTTTTCCTGTTTACAGGCTTGTCCCTCCAGGTAGCATTATAGGTAGATCGGTTAAAGGAAGGCTCCCCAACGATGCCAAGAAACCCAATATCTTTTATAAGAGGCATTTCAGACCCCACTCTGAGGACAGAGAGGGCTGCAAAGAGGCCTCGCTTCCTTTGCTGGAGAAGTCACATCTTGCTGCAACCTTCCCTGGGGCCTGCTAGCAAGTGTGGAGTTGAGGACAGGGCTCACTCCTAAATCAGAACACGTGGGTCACGTGCCTCAGGGCCAGGACACAGAATCCATGCCCTCCAGGTCTAGTCACAACAAGCACATCTCAGAACAGAGCTGGAGCACCTTGGCCTCCCACTGTGAACATGGATGTAGCTCCAGGAGCTGGAAGGAACTAAATAGCTGGGCCGCTGCTTGAGCAGCTCTGCAGTTTTCTAACAGGACTGTGACACATACCCACCTACAGGCCTCAGTCCCCTCTTCCAGGTGAGAATTACAACCAAACTGCTGGACTTGCTGAATCAGGTTCATCGTTGCCTGGTCGAAGTGCATTTTCCTTGCATGGGTTTCCTCCTTTTCAGGGGCAGGTGTGTGTTTAAGGACCATCAGGGAGGTTCAGAGCCCATATCCCTGATGTTTTCTGTTGAGTTCGAGGAGAGAAAATAAAATCCATGAGGACTCGCTCCTTTTGATATCCTCCCCTTTCTCACTGTTTTCTTCCTTTGTTGAGTCCTAAGGTTGACATAAGGAGGAGTGATGAACAAGTCTGTTGGAGTTTTGGTTATATTCCTACTGTGAAGGATAATCAGTCCTGGTTAATTACTGGTTGGTTGTCAGTGTGTAACTGAGAAGGTCCCACTGTGAAATGCAAGGTTGGAAAGGCAACTGTCAGAGAGACAGAGGAGGAAGAACAGAGCTCTACCATTCAGTGCATGTCTGTTTGGGGCGTGCTCCAGAGCTAAGTGCGTCGTGGCTTATTGCCAGGATCCTAAATATACTCCAACAAAGATGGAACATTCAGTGAAGACAAAAACCGATTAGCAATGACTCCCAGCTATAAGTCTATAGGACCCTAATGGACCAAGTGCTCATTCCATTGGTGTCCCCATTCACAAAGTCTCTAGAGGCCAGCTGCTTCTCACAGTTGGTCTTACTGGGAGGGACCTAGAAGAAAGTTTTAGTCTCCTCCATCTTGGGTCCACGCTGGGCTAGGTAGATGGGGAGAGGCCAGTGGAGATGCCATAGTGTACCTCTCCACGACACAAGCTTTGGTGCAGGAAGGACCTTATGTCCTGTTTCTATGATAATCCTTCTCACTGGAACCCAGATTACTCTCTACGTGGGCTCCTACATCTGTAGCCCTGGCCTCTGGGACATTTAAACCCACACATGGGCTCTTTTATCCTGCAAGATCTCCTGGGAGTCAGTATGTTCTGTCTAAACGGTGTGAGGTCTCATTGTCCTCCCTGGTCACAAGTGGAGACCACAGCAAGTAGAAGGAAAACCTTGACTCCTGTTGGACACTGCCAAGCAGGACATTTAGATATGGGATCAGTGGTTTAAAAACACCAAACTGCCAAATGGCTCTGCTGTTTCTTAGTACCAGGGCTGCCGGTGGTCTCCTGCCAGTGTCAGGATTGGGCAGGTGCTTCTGGAACGAATCCTGCAGGCATGAGCAGAAGCAGGGGAAACGGAGAGCAACTCCTCTTTTTGGGACATGGAGGCACTGAGAGATCAAACAAGGAATGGCTCTGGTGCTTTGGGATTGACTCCCACGTTTCCAGGACACTGCACCCTAAGACATTATCTGTTTCCCCCTCCAGGGCTGAAGTGATTCTGGGGAGCATCATCAAGAAGAAAGGCTGGAGGTAATGTACTCACCATAATCATTTATTTACCTTTAAAAAAGACTTATTATTTTGTACCAAAGAAGGGAAAATAAAAGTTGTATGACAACTGGCCAAAAGGTTGTCCAAAAAAAGTCATCTCTTAGTAAAGAAATGATTTACAGTGGTCTGAAAATAAATACCAGCCAGTTCATTTCTGGTGCTTCAAAAGTTACTGACTAGTCATCAATCACAGTGAATTATCACAGGGCTGAGCAGAGAAGTGGGGAATGGTCAAGAAGTCTTTGTCCATAAAAGAAAGTGACATTTTCATGGCTTCTGACTGCCATTTATGGTAATTTGGTGAAGGAAGCCAGCTGACAGGAAGCTGATTGTGTATACTATCCACACCACTATTAGCAACTCTGAATGCAAAGACATGATGAAGTAAGAAGCCCTTGAGATAAATACCCCAAAGCTTTCTTATCTGCCAGTGTCTCTCTTATGTACTGGGAGCCCTATTATCTGGGGACTCAAGAAAGTTTTTCATCTTCTATCCTTGAGGGGTCACATCCCATCACATCACCTTCTGTAGTAAACACCAGTGGTAATAATGGGTGCCACAACATCTGGGGGTGGGGGGCAATCCCCCTCTGTTTCACTATGCACGTCATCCCCAACAGCCACTTCTCCAACATGAGCAGAAAATCAGGCAAAGCCCAACAAAGACCAGTGGACAAGTTTGGGGTCCTCTTCTGCTCCAGTATAATGTCTGCTGATTGCCAAATAAATAACAGTTCAATAGCATTAGTGAGGCAAATGTGCAAGGAGCTCTAGACCCACACATGTACAGGTAGCATGTATAAAATCTAGTCGAGGAAAAATGGAACTTCTCAAAAAATATAGCTTAAGACTGGTTTTATTATGCCTTTTCACAAAGCATTTAAATTCCTTCTGAGAGAGGAAACTGGAAGGATCAAACAGAGCTTCATGTATTAGGGCTGCTTACTCCTCACTCTTAGATCAACATTTGGTAGGAACTGGGGGCCTCGTAGAAATAGAAAACCAGAAATTTATGGAGATGTCAACAAATAAAGTTTGGTGACCTACTTTCTCCCTCTCACTTCTCTTCCTCCTCAACTCCAAGGACTGTAAGTGTGCTAAGAGAGAGCTGTATTCATCCTTAAATATGGAAAAATATTCATGTCCCCACCCAGTCCTCCACCTTGCCTGAGTTACTTTCCCACTCATATGTTGATCCATCCATCACTCCCCAATAGACACTCATCAGTTTCCTAGGGCTGCTGTGACAAAGGGCCACAAACTGGATGGCTTAAACCAACAGAAATTTATCCTCTCACAGTTCTGGAGGCCAGAAGTCAAAATCAAGATTTGGGCAGGGCCACATTCCCTCTGAAATGCTGGGTAGAACACTTCCTTGCCTCTTTTGAGCTTCTGGTGGGCTCTGGAAATCTTTGGTGTTCCCTGGTGCAGATACCAACTTCAACCTCTACCTCTGTCATCACATGGCACTCTCCCCTCGTGTGTGTTGGCGTTTTCTTATAAAGACACCAGTCACATTGATATTGGATTAAGGGCTCATTGCTCTCCAATATGACCTCATCTTAATTTGACTAAGTACATCTGCAGTGACCCTATTTCCAAATCAGCTCACATTCTGAGGAACTGGGGGCTTAGGACTTTAATGTATATTTTTCAGGGACACAATTCAACCTATGACAGAGACCTTGCAGATGAGTCCCATAGGAGTCCAGTGAACTCTGCAGCAAGGTGTAGGCTGACAGAGTACACCCGAGGGAGGAGGGGAAGCATTAGTGCGGGAGCTCTTCTCCCCTCAGCCCAGACAGCGTTTAGCCACCACGCTCCATAGTCTACAGAGTCAAAAGCAAGTATACTAACATGCATCTTTCACAAACTCCCTTTCAGTTTTGCAAATAAAAACTCAAGCTATCATCATGCTACAGAATATTACATCAGTTCACAGCTGCTCCCAGAAGACTGGTGAAAAGATAAACCATATCATCATAGCATTGATCTATAAAAAGCAGTTTCAGCTAGCATACTTGTCTTCTAGTCCAGTGCTGTCCAGGACAAGTTACTGCTCTTCTTTGAGTCTCAGTTTCCCCACCTGTAAAATGGATGGCCTAGTTGTTCATGAAGTATCATGCTGATAACAGAAGGTATGCAAAAGTATTTTGAAGGCTGCACTATCAAATAAAAAATAAAGTATCAAAATAAAGCATTCATGTCATCATTCTCCACCCACTCTGAATGTTTCCGTGAGGTCAGTGATAATTTGCCAGGTTGCTGTCTACTCGTGCTCTTTGAACATAAATGTTGGTGTGCACACCCATATAAGGCCAAACATTTTACAGAAAGCCCAGCTTTAGAAAAATAAGTAAGTCTGTGGTGGTGGTATTGGCCAAGATGTGCAGCTTTGGCAGGCCCATGTGCTCTGAATAATCAAGAGGGCTGCATTCGTTTTTTATAATATCCCATCCAGCCTTTGATTGAAGCTCTGCCAATGTTTGCTAAAGGAGAACTTGCTACTATACTAGGTCTCATGAGGTTGACAGATCAACCTGGAAAGTGCAGCAGGCCTTCTGGGGTGTGTAATCTCCAAATGCATGTATCTATAGACTTTCCATTTCAATGATTCAAATTACTTTCAGGGAATTAACTTCAGTGGGATGGGGTTGCTGACATTCTCTGCAATTTTTCTTGTTGCAGCCAAGTTGTCAGAATTGTCACTGCTGTTCCCCATTGGTTATCATTAATCATACTAGGCTTTTATACCGGAGGGCCCTGAGGCATCACTGCTACAGCTGATGGAAGTATAAATGCCTTATTTCAAATATTCCCAAAGTTTGGTCTTAACCTTTGAATCACAAATGAGGTGTTTTTTTCCTAGACCAGTTCAGTTGAATTACATACCTGGAGAAACTAAATTACACTGAGATCTGCCTCCCAATTTTAAATTATATGACTATAGATCTCAAGACGTATTTATTATTCCATGACCATAATGGCATTTCCTGCCCCTGGGTGTGGTTTTGAGAAAGTAATAAGTTTGCTGACAAGATTTCCTCATAAGCATAGGGTGGTAAAACTTTGAGTTAAGGATTTTAGGACCGTTTTCCTGAAATGTCATTTCCATTGAATAAGACACTCAAAGAAATTATATTCCTATTTATTAACTATTATAATTTACCTCATCATTCAGATTTCCATGTAGTCAGTTCCTGTCTGTGAATATGGTGGTTGGAGAGGTAGCAACTCAGAATCACTAGGTCCATAGTCCTTGGAGAGTGGACTTAACCCCAGAAAAGTTCACTCTCAATGTTATGTCAGATGCTAAGTAAGTGGTAATTGGTGGCTGTTTGTTTGAGCTACTAAAGCAATCCATCCTTTAAGTCCTTTCACTTACTCTTCTCATTTACCATTTCTGACCCTCTATTCCTACCTCTGACCTTCCGTTTGCCACCACCTGTCACAGTCCTCCACCTCCTCCAACCTCTCCAGGTAAAGGTCACTTCCATTCAACCTCTTTCTCAGGAGTCTGACTTGAAGTCCCCACTCACCAGCTTCCCTTTGTCCTTACATTTCAGTGACATGAATTAACAAATTTATCTCTTTACCAATGTTTTTTAATATGAGCTATAATAAATTCTTTGTAGTGTTATAATAATAATATGACTCAGTACAATAACTGGCAATTTATTTAGTATTTCTGTCTGTCTGTTTAATATACAGGAGGTCCAGCCTGGTCATAACAACCAAACTGTACTGGGGTGGAAAGTAAGTTAAATTCATTTTATTTTCCCTTCTTGACAGGAAACAGCTAGTAGTTCACGCTTTTATCTTTTTAAGCAACCATTTTCCATTTTACATCTAATGTACTAAAATTAATTGGTTTGGAGAGAAAGATTGTTTTTTCTCACTTGAAGGAAATAGCAATTAGCCTAGGATTCCATTTTAGCAAGATGTCCCCAAAGAAATATAGTGCAAAGCATGTGGTCACTCATTGCTAAGTGATTCGTGGAGATTTTCAAATACCAACCTCATACTTAGAACTGTCTCCAAAATAGAGTTCAAATTTGGGGGGAAGAAAATAAGCACATAGTATCACAGAAGAAAAGCTACTCAAATCTGCCAAAACTTGGAGACTTATACAGAATGCAAAGATAAAAATATCTCGTCTGACCCAACGTGTAAGTCTCTGATCATTTCTGCAGAGCGCTCTAAACGTGCTGATCAAAAGGAGCATCTCACTGGAGAGTAACACAGAGCTACTTGTATCACTCCCTGTCAGGCCTCATGAAAGAGAAGTCCTCTTTCTGGTGTTGGATGCAAACAAATTTCACAGAATGAATTAGCTTCTGATGGACATGGTGTTTGAACTGGTATTTACATTACCCAGCAGGACTTAGAAGTTCAGCCTTTTCAACAAACATGTAAGAAAACAGCAAGCTATTCCATATACCTCTTCAAGGAAATCTCAAAGCTGTCCATGGAGTCTTAGAAAAAAACAAATAAACAAACACAAACAAAACCTTATTCATCTGCTAATAATTGATAGGAAAGAGTTAAAAATGCAATTGGAGTCAGAGGTCAGTTATTTAGGAATCTTCTAATCAAAATGCATATGTGTATACATACATACGTACACACATACATACTGGGGGTGCCAAAAAAAATGTATACAAGTGAACACTTTGGTCAATGTTGCTCAAGCAGTAGTTTGCCGTAATCAGAAGTGTCTGGACACTGATGGTAACCACTTTGAGCACCTCTTGTAATGGCAGAAGTCAAACGTGACTTGTATTCATCTTTTGTTATTGGTATATATTGATTGTTACAATTTTAATACAGTTTTCCTTTCTAAAAATGTGTATCCATTTTTTGGCACCTTCTGTATTTACTCATATTTTATTGCTATTTTGAGCCTGTTTATGATGAAAACAGAAAGATGGAATTTAGATGTTTATTCCTATTGTAGTTTACAAAAAAATAAAGCAACATTGTACCTATGAGAAACGTAGACTTACATTGTCTATGCTCTGATCTGTCGTGCCATTGCCTGGTGCTTTGCAGTGGTACTCAAAACCTTGCCTATAATTTAGAAATAAACAGGAAGTAAAACAATCTACAAGAACCACTGAGTAGTAGAGTACTATGTACCCTATCATCTAATATACTTACAAAGATATAAAATCACCAAAGATCAATGGTAAACTCCTATGCTTTAAAAAGAGTTTGCCAACAGTATTGATTTTGAAGAAACATTTCATCAATACTTTAAAACTGAAGGACCACGTTTGTTTCTAATTGTCCAGAGCTTGAGAATGGTCTGAAAAGGCAAAAGTCCTAAGTCTTCTTAGGATACGATTTAAGGAAAAGTTGGTGGATCACATTTTAAAAGAAAATAGTTAATTTCTTTTGAAAGTCAAAGGCGCTCTCAAATTTGCTTCCTTTCTCAGAAGAGCTAATGACATTAGCAGCCTGGCAATTTTATAGTTAAGCTCACAAACTTATGTCAAGCTTTTTTTTAATTTTAGTTTTTAACTTGCTTGGGACTGGTTAAGAACAAGGTGGGAAGGTTGAACCGTGTGTCAAATTATGTATGGACAGGCTGTGCATGGCGAAGTTGTTATTTCCATGGTGTGATGACAGCCATGGTTAATTCGTCTCCTGGGGTGTCCAAAGAAAAGGGGCTCAGTATATTGCCCACCAGCCTTTCCTCTTCAGCCTGCAGTGGTGCAGAATTTGTGAAGAGCAGGGTATAAAATTAGCAATTTGGTCTAGAATTATTATTCTGCACTTTTCCGCTCAGTCATTTGTTTCTTTTTCTTGTTAGAGCTGAAACAGAAAGAGGGTTGTCAAGAAAACATATTATCGAAGGTAGGTACTGCTGCTTCCATTTTATTTTCATCTGTGGGCTGCTGATTGAAGAAAGGTATCAACCAAATAGGTTCAAAACACTTAAAGGGGGCGGGAAATTCTCTGTGAAAAGAACCACAATCAACGGAGTTTCTTCCTAAGGTTGAGCATGGGGAGTGTAGTGATATAGAGGGAAGAATGGAAACTCAGAAAAGAGTCAAATTTTCCAGAACTCTTCTCATTTACAGCTATGCTGACATTAATAAAACACTTCCATTAGACTTTTGAAAGGTTTTATTGAGATATAATGTATATACCATAAAAGTTTACCCATTCAAAGTGTACAGCTCATTGGTTCTAAGTATAATTACAGAGTTGTGCAATCACCATAATTTAATATTAAAATATTTTCATCACCCCAAAGAGAAACCTTGTACCCACTAGTAGTTCTTTCCCACCCCTTCCTTACCCACAGCCCCAAGTAACCTCTAAGCTGCCTTTGTCTCTATAGATTTGCTAATTCTGGACATTTTATGTAGAGAAGATAGTGCGATATGTGATATTTTGTCAATGGCTTCTTTCACTTAGCATAATATTCATCCATGTTGTAGCATGTGTCAGTACTTCATTCCTTTTTTTTGCCAAATAAAATTTCATTGTGTGACTATGCCACATTTTATCTATTCATCAGTTAATATGCATTTGTGTTACTTTCACTGTAAAGTAAAGTAATGCTGCTATAAACATTTGCCTGCAAGTTTTTGTGTGGACCTATGTTAAGACTACCATACTTTAAAAAAAAAAACAACAACTATATATGCATACAAAAAACTTGTAGAAAATTACCACTGGGTGATTGATTCACGGTGCCATTACTTGTGCCATGGTATCAAAATTTTGCATGGCTTAGAAATTAAGACTGCAAGAGCCATGATAGTAGAGCACCACTACTTCTCTGTGAGGATTATGAGAATTGTGAGGAACTTTCACTTATTTCTTGCTTGTCTGTATATTACAAAAATTTTACACTTTTTGCAATAAAGGAAAAAATGTTAAAAGTGCTGCCATATATTTCCAATATCTTTCTACTAGTTCATGGACTAATTCATAAAAATCCAAGGTTTTATGACTTTAGATTCATGATTACTCATTGAGACAGATGATTTTTCTCCTTTTTAAAACTAGTTTCATTTATGAAATGCCAAAGTCACCAAAAAATATAAAATATATTCTAATCGCACCACTTTAAAAATAAAAATGGATAAAGGGGGGTAAAATCCTCCTTTTGCTCATCTCAACTCATTCCACAGTTTGACAATCTGGTGCCTTATCCTTCCCAACTTTTCCCTGTAGTCACACTGGCTTATCTGTCTACACAACTTACTTATAAATACAAAAACATATGTGTTAAACCAATGAAATTAAGCTATACCTTTGAACTTAAACTTTATTTTTTCTCAATTAAAATAAATTTAGACACACACACATATACATATACACACATGATTTGTATGTTATTCCCATTTTTAGTATTATAAGGACTTATACAAATGACCATCCTTATGTAAAATGAGTTAGAAACTGGAGGTAGCATTGTTAGGTCAAAGAATAATGGATATTTTAAAATTATTTTCTAAAAAGAATATACCTATCTGATAGATAAACTGATCTTATTTATTTGCTTTTTTATACACTTATTTATTAATTATTTCATAATTATGTGCTTCTTGTTCTGGGAATTAACTCTTCATATTCTTAAGCTATTTTTCTTTTGAGTCATTTGTCTTGATCTTATTAACTTGTAGGAGCTCTTTATATACTAAGGATGTTCACTCTTTCTCAGTTACATGAGTTGCAAATGTTTTCTCCTAGGCTGTCATTTCATGTGAATTTTTTTCCCCCCATGAATCTGATCTAAAATATAATGTTGAATTTAAAGACATTTCTTTCTAGTTTAGGAGTTGGAGCTATTTTTTGTCCTATAATGATAACAACTTTGAAATAGCTTAGACTTGCACTAGAGTAAAAAATTGTTCCAGTATTCAATCATTTAATTTAAAATGGAGACTTAGAAACCAGATCTTTTGTGTATACACACATACACACACACACACACTTTTATCAGTAATAATTATATTAATTTATTTCCAAAGTCTTTGTTTGAGTTTAGTATTTCTCACTAACTGATTTTTAATATATTTGTAGGCATTTTTGGGTTTTGAAATCAGACAAATATTGGTTCAAGTTTCAACGCTGTAATTTATGAGCTGGGGGCCTTTGTGCAAATTTCTTAACCTCACTAAGCCCCCACTTCCTTGACTAAAAAAATGAGCTATAAATATTCCTACCTTGTGGTGTTACTATACATAGATTGAAATTAGATAATTCACATTGAGCACAGCGTCTGTCACATAATAAGCACTTAATAAATTTTATTTTTGTGATCATCATTCTTCATAGTGCAACTGCTAGTCACCATTCTATGGATAAGGATACCCTTTACTAAGTAGGTAACACCCAAGGCTGCCACAATAAACAACCACATTCTAGCACTACAGAAAGCTTCCAGATTCCTCACCCAAACAAATTCTCTTCAGGCCTTGGTGTCCAATTTGTCACTGTAAAGTCAAACCCAACCTGCCTCTCAAAGCTGCTACCATTCCTTCTCTAGCCAAAACATCTACCACAGAATTTGTCAATAGAAATAAACCCACGTCAGCTTGTAGTAACAAGTTGAACCAACGGAGCAGCAGTGTGCTGCCTAGAAAGTTCTTGTTTTGCTTCTTTTCTTTTTACTCTAATTGATTGAAAAAGATATTCAGAAAATGGCTCACACTGGCAATCAACGAAGAAATAAAATCAAAGAGAAAAAAATGGAGACAGTGTGCTGCTGTGCTTTTTAACGACTCTCCATTGCTTTAATATTTACCAGTGTGTGTGCATAATTTTAGACTTCTCTCTTTTTTTAGAGAGAATTGAAGTTTTCTTCAGGTCTCATACAACTTAATAGAAATACCTTAAATTCTCTCTCCCTTTTAAATAAGTCGTAAATTCTCTTAGGAACTAACCTCTCAGGGTGGATAAACCAGTTCAGCTGAAATTCAAACTGACCCAGATTCAAACTTCAACACAAAATTCCAAACTTTTGAAATTGAAGAAGAATTAGGAACTGTTATTATTATGTTGTTATTGTTGCTGTTATTTTTCAGTTCACAATTTCAGCCAAAGACAAAAAATATTCATGAGTGCAAGCGAGTCAGCAAAAAGGATATTTCTGGGCAGGCTGAAATTAGGGAATTGAGTGCATTTTACAGAAAAAAAGAAGCACATGAGATTTCCAGACCCAAAATAAAGTTTGAGTGATTTTATAAATTGTTATCCTTGAGCTTTACTGGCACTTGTTCTGTGATGAAGGTGACCTTACTCAACACGGGATATTCATACACACATTAAATCTGAGAGTTACTCTTAGAGGATCAGACAGAAGCCCAATTCATGGAGAGGTCAGCCCGCTTGTGTGCTGGGTGACCTTGGCCACCTGAGTTAGTTTATAGAGTGAAAAATGAGTTTGACTTGTGCATAATGTAGTTTTGAAAAAAATTCATATGAAAGCCCTTTTCAATGAGCCCGAAGTCCTTGACTTAGATCCAGTTAGGAATAACATTCCCCTTAGAGCCACAAGGAGGGGTAGAAAGTTCACTAGTAGGTTTATTATATCCATTTAGAATCCCCAAGTCCTCTCAGGCTCTGCAAGTCTATTTATTCGTTCAGCCATTTTACAAACATCCATTAAGCCCAAATGTGTGCCTATGTTAAAATTTAGCAGATCAAATTTCCTTAGACTCTAACATGAAGAACAGGAATGGTTTGGTAAGTCATTTTGTAAGACTAAGTAAATTGTTTGTGTGCTATTATAGGCAAAAGTTGTGTCTAAGTCTGTATTTGTCTTTCAGGTAAACAACAGTTTTGCTATGCAATTCAAAACAAAAACCCACTGTGATTGTTCCAGGAGTAGAAAACGAAAATAATCTGAGAAATCTCTGCTTGCAACTTTTTAATGAATAGCAAATGTTAAACCACCTTCCTATCTGAACTCTTTTTAAAAAGAGATAATTTATGATTTTGCAGTTAAAGTATAAATTTCTTAACAAATGGATTAAGCACAGAATCCCTTTCCAGGGTGCCATGTTCATAGTAAACTGAAATTACCCACCAGGATAACCATGTTTCATAATAACAGAAGCAGCCACATATATTATTCTAATACAGTGCAGTCATATATATATATATATATATATATATATATATATAGAGAGAGAGAGAGAGAGAGAGAGAGAGAGAGAGAGAGAGAGAAAATATGGCAAGTGTGTTTTAAATCATGGCTAAGAAATTTGCCAAGAAGATGCTGGAAAATTATGCAGGGAAACATGTACATTACTTAAGGTAACATTTTTTTTTCAAACTAGATAGGAAATCAAATGTGTGGTCGGTGTAAAAGATGACAATACAGCATATTTGAGTAGAACCTTTACAGAATTTCCAAACTACTGATTTCCTGTTTCTACCCCATTAAACCTGCAACACTGAACACCTGATCCACCTCTATGGCAATCTGCTTAATGTCTGAATGAGCAGATTTCTTTCAATGCCAATAAATAGACTTAACTGGATTTGAGGTTCACTTTATGAACAATACAGTTCCTGCTCAACTTCAGAACCTAAAAGAAAAATGAACCTAGATTTTTTTTTTACCATAGTCACTTGAAAGCTATTTTCTTTGCATAACACAATTTATCATATCCTGTGGGCTTTTGAGGAATTGCCAGTTAACTTCTAGACATTCCTCAAGGGCAGGTCCTTGTTTCTGCTGTGTCCACTCCCACACACCCTGGGTTAGTGCCAAGGGATAGGCTAATGTCAAAAGTGACTTCAGCAAGTACAGCACTGCACTGGAGCACTTACCTCCTTGGATTATGATTAGCTGTCTAGATGCCTGTCTGGAGCCAAGGCTAATGCATTTTCGCATGTCTACTTAAGACAATACCTGGCCCCAAGCCAATGCTCAACAAACATTTGCTAAGTGGAGATAGAACATGACTATTTGTTTATTGGAGATAAACCCTAAATGGCTCTCAAGGAGACATTCACTGAGCCTGTCTTTATGTTGCTACAATTTTTTGCTATTTCTACAAGATTAAAGCATCCAAATAGGAAACGATAGGACTACCCGATTTGGCTTGCAGTCCCAGGGAAGGTCAAAGCAGAAGGATCACCTAGCTCCCTTTCATCTTTGGACAGATGAGGAAACAACGAAGGCCCAAAGGGGCGTGGAGACATAGTTGAGGTCATTCAGGCAAGCCTGAGTTAGTACTCTGGATCTCAAACCCTGTACTTCACCTGCACGTAGACCTCTCCCTAACTATGCCAGACTGGGCCACCCAGCTGCCAAGGGGCCCGTGTGGGTGTCAGATGTGCTGCTCAGACATATCCTGGCTGCCGCCACCACCACCAATCTGCTTTTCCCCCGACTTCCTCATCTTACTAACATTCACTTCCCTTCTCTGGCCAAAAATCTGACAGTCATCCTTGATTCGTCTACCTCCACACTCTGTATCCAGCACATCAGCAAGTCCTCTAATTTCTGCTTATACAACTTGTCCCGAATTTGAACGCCTCTCACCACCTTGGTCCAACCTTGACCTGCTGCAGTAACCTCCTTACCGGTCTCCCTCCCTGGTTACACTCTTGCCCCCAACAGATCTTTCTCAACACACCAAGTGACCAATTCAAAATGGAGGTCTATCCCATTACGGATTTCAGGGAAATATCGTTTCCCCTGCTTAACTCCCATTTCCTTGCCTCCCAGTCCCGCAACCAATGTGTTTCCATCTCACGTACAGTAAAATCCAAAATTCATACCACGGATTACAAGACTTTACGTGACTGAGATTTTCAGAGTGAGCAGATAGTGTCTCTTAGGGTCACAATCTCCTTTGACTTCACTGCAAAGGCAGAGTGGGGACCATGTGGATCACTAACATCATTGCTTATAGTCTCACATGAATACACTGGAATCTCTGCTTCCCAGAGAAAGAACTGACAGGGGACGAAGAACCAAATACAATGATCTTTATGGCAAGTCCACGCCATTATTTTGGGGTACACGTTATCACCATGAACAATGAACCTATATGAATAGATGTTCTCAATATGCACTGTTAGCTTCTTGGGGATGAACACCGTGTCTGTACCCCCAGTGCCCAGCACAGTTTCAGGATCAAGTTGGGATCAGTACATGCTTATGGCATGAAAGAGTAAATGATCTAAGTCATGACTGATCGATCACACAGCATTACAAGGGCCAAGTCAGTCTCAGCTTCTTTTACTTACTCTCAGCCCGCACTGAGCTTTTTGAAGAGACATAGAAGGAGAGGGCCATCATCAGGAAGGACGCTGTTTCCAGCGCCGGGCATGGGCCAGAATGTCACTAACTGCCTCCCTTCAAAACCAGGGGCTCCAGGGAAAATCTCTGGCATTTACCTTGGCACTTCTCCTTCTGAACCTTTCCGGATGTGAACACCACTGTTATAATTACCCTATTTCTATAGACTGTTGCATTTACAAAGTGCTTGACAATTGATTTTATTTGCTCTCTGGAGCAGCAATTCCAAAAGTAGTAGTACTGTTATCCCCCGTGGCAGATCAGAAAATAGAGTCACAAAAGAAGGTGAAGAACCCAGGTGGGGTCACACAGCGTGCTATGGTACAGATTTCAAACCTTCCACAACTTGTAACACCCTGTTATTTGTTTGTTTGGTTATTCTGTCCTCCCTTACCTCCAAATACATACAATTACTTCCAAAAAGTAGTTCATATCATAGTGCTTTTTAAAGTAAATTTAATTTCAAGCTGCCCCTTGAGATAGCTGGCAGTACCCTGAGCCTGAAAGTCACCACAGTTTTTTAGGAGCAGGCATTGGACTGTGTAACACCTGTCTGCCCTAATCTCTTCATCAGTGCTTTTTAAAAACAGGCTTCCACCACAGACAATCCTTTCTCAATGAATGAAAAATATTTCCGGAGCTATATTCAAGCACTCCCTTTTCCTGTCAAAAATGTAATTGTGTCTGGCCAATAAACCAGTTTGAAAAATCAAATTTAAATGAGCTAAATTTAAATTTATAAGAGCTTCATTTAACATGCAATTAATTTTATGCATATAATAAAAAGAGAAAAACCTCCGGTGTTCCTGAGGAATTAAATAGGCTGATAAGGAAATGCTGAACCTCATGGAAATGAGGTGGAACGACTCTTGAACACTGTCATCCTTTTGGTTGTATAATATTATATGCAATGCATTCTATTTCAGGGAAATAGTAATTTTACTGAAATTAAACAAGTTTTTATAAGTACTCATAGAAATGTGACCAAATGGGTAGGGCTGAGATGGTGATTATTAGCGCCAGATTTTTTAAAAGCTCTCACTTTCTCTTTTATATTACCTCTTAGATCTTTATAGCTTCTAGCACTTTTTTTCTCCCCCAAAAGAATGGAGAATAACAGATATGGTAGAACTCAGCTACATGGAAGGTCCTTCAAACTTTGTTTCAATCAGTAAATTGATGAGCAAAGCCCTCATTTGCCAACCCTTTTATTCCTACTAAAACACATGTGTACATGAAGACAGGGCTGGCAGTCATTTATTTCTGATTTATAGTGTTTTTATGTTTTTGATGTGCAATAAATATATCTCAATCCCATTAAGTTATTCAATACACGATATTAATTTGCATTGTTCAAGAAGACCCTCTTAGACTACTTTTTATTCTAAACTTTGCTCCTGGATACTGCCACCCATTAGTCGCTGTGCAAGATTATTACTCAGTACGTATTTTCCAGTGGGGTAGGTGCACTAAAATCATTGAGAAAATTTTATGATTTTGTTGGGGACAAAATCAGCCTTCGATATATTTTTTAAAGGTTTTAGAGATCGGTTGACACATCATATTCAATGCCTTTTTGAAACTAATCCAATGCTTTAAAAAAAACCAAAAAAACAAAAAAAACTTCAGCTGTTTCTCATAGTGCTCATACTTGAACTTTTTTATTTTTTCCTGCTTCTCTTCCCAGGATTGAAGGGCTCCCTCCAGAGGCTGCAGCTTGAGTACGTGGATGTGGTCTTTGCAAATCGACCGGACAGTAACACTCCCATGGAAGGTGAGTGAAGACATTTCATAAAAATTGTAGTTATTGATTCTAGCTTCACAATTTATTCCACTCACAGTAAGAAATGAAATATATTCAGACGGGTTTGATTGAGTATGAAAAATGAAAACCTTTCTGGTCGATGTCTTTCAGCCTCAATATTTACCCCCTAAGCCAATGCCCAGCATCTTGCATCTTCATTATTTTTTAAAGCAGTCACAGGTATTGGAATTGTGACTCCTGCCGGGTACTGTGCTCACTTTTTCCAGGTTCATTTCACTTCTATGATTCTATCAACTAAAACAATAAAATTAATTGGAAGGGGAGTTTATAACCCAGCCATCATTATTTTGGAGTGAGTCCTCTGAGGGGCTTCCTGTTTTATAACGACCCTAGGTCTGATTAGTTTCCAATCTGCGGTAACAAGTGCTAAGTGGCATCATGAGCAGAGGTTTTACAGGAGCCACTATTCAAAATGAGACTTTGTTCCAATCTGGTTTTTGACTCTTAAGGAGCTTCAACATTTTATTTCCTTTCTGTTATAACTGCTTGAAGACAATAGTTTAAGCATCTCCTTGTAGAAGCTTTCAGAACAGTCCTAAAACCAGATTTTCTTCAATTTACATTTATTTATGGAATGATTGAGAAAGAAGATAGTTTGGGAGGATAAATTATAAACAATATTCTAGTTAATTGAGTTTGAGAGTCATATGGATTATCACTTACCTGGGGTGAAGAAGAATAAAAACATTTGGGAAAAAGAGGAAAACAAGAATGTTCTTGTTTTGTGAGGCTTATGATATGACATAGATTTACAAATTTTCAAAGAATTAGAATAGAGTAATCAACATCAAATTGCACTGAAGGTAAATTTGTCTTTGATGATTCAAATGGTAGTTTGGGGTCTTGTAATACACCTATAAAGTTTCTATGAAGATTTATTCTTGCTATCGGGTTATAGAAGTTATAGAAGTTATAACGGATTGAAGTACATATGAATTTTTTTGTAGCTTGCATTTTTTACCAAAAAAATGTTATGTAAGTTATTTTCCTTGTCACTTATGTCTTTTTCAACTACAGAGATGTTTAAAATACATATTTATATATGTATAATTTTCTCCTAGAATTTTCTGCTTACTTGATTCTGAGTAAATTAGGAGTTTACTATAAGGTAATATCAGTGTTGGAAATTCATAATAAAAAATTATCCATGGAGCTGACATAAAAATGCATATTTTTATCAAAGCAAAGAATAGTTGTTTGAAAAAGCAAATCATAAACATTTTTTAGTATAAGAAGTGTTTATTGCAAGGATAATATGATGTCACACTGTTCTCAGTTACACATTAGAACAGAGTACTATCTAGTGAGTAAAAGTTTCAGGTGAAATACCATTTAGTGGGGGCTGTGAAAGACTGAAATTGCTTCCCATTTTAAGTGCTTAGTGACTATTTTCCTCCTTGGAAAAGAGTCCTTTGCAATTACACCATGTACAGAACAGAAGAACATCTGGGATTTTTCAGTCTGTTGTTTTTTTCTCATTTTGCCCACCCTACCCCTGTCTTTAATCTTAGGGATATAATGTAGGAATCTCTCAAACAGAGAATTTTATCATTTACATTATGTACCTATAGAAGGAAGAAATTCTCAATTAGAGGCCAAACTATGTGATGCTGATACGATAATGGTGTCTGTTGTGTGAACACTGATTATGTGTTGAAATTTATTAGAAAGGTGCTTCCAATTGTTGAAAAGAAAAAAAAAAATAAAGAACTGCCTCATGGTCCAGCCTCTGCTGGAGTCAGAGAACATTTACATTTTCCCTGATTTCCTTGTAGAAAACTCTGCATAGCAAAATAGGGAGCTATCTTATCATGAGTCATTGTCCAGGTTCAGAAGTCTAATGAAGAGTATCAAGCAATAGAGGTTTGCATTTGTTGAACAGGTCGAGGACGGTGGCTCTGCGGCAGTTAACCACCTTATGCCTGCGATGTAGCCCACACTTCCCCAGCCCCACCCCACCAGGGGCAGATCCACTCCGAGCTGGCCCATCAGACACGGAGTTTTATTCCTCTGGGATGACTTAGCAAGGACACACCACAGGTGATTGCTCACGTAGGACTTGCTCCCGATTGAAACAGCTCCCGTGTGTTTTCTCCCTGGCTTTCAGAAAACATGTATCCTCAGGCTTCCTATACTCATTTGTTCCATGGTGGGCCCGAAGGAAATGCCAGTGTGAGACTAGCCTCTGGAAACTCATTCTCTTCACTGGAACAGAGGAAAGCATTGATCTGGGCAATAGAGAGAAGAAATAGGAAATAAGAAGAATGTTAGAAATAGACAGGGATGGCCAGGTGGCCTTGGGTGCATTTGCTCCTCTAAAAATTAAAAAAGAAAAAAGAAAAAGAAAAACATGGTGTCTAAGCTACTTCTGGATTCCATGTTGTTATTAAGATTCATTTTTGCAGTGGTTTTGTAAGTCATATGTGTGTGTGAGTGAAAGCTGTACATGTACAGTGGGGTTACCTTAGGAGGGCTATTTATGTTTCTAAAAACAACACAGAAAGTAAATATTATGTATAATCAAAATTACCCTTGAAAACCCAACAGTAATTCCTTGTTAGTCAAAGTTGCATATAGCCTTTAATTAGTTACGCAATTTCTTCACCAAATATAGTGACAAAACCATCACTAGATATCACCCAGCCACATTTTTTTGTAATGGCCAGAAAATTCTTAATATCATTCACATACTTTTATTTCCACAACTCATATTGGCAGTTTTAGACTCAATCACATTCATTTCTAATATAAATGATGCAGCAGTGGTTGCCAAGTACATATTGCCAAATTTTCATGCATTAAATCTACATATATTGGCACTGTGCTGTGTGTATATGCCTGGGTCCTACAGTAGACCCTTAGCATTTGTAGATCACTTTTATTGGTTTCAACCATTCCCTGACAACTCCATGGAGGCACAACACAAGCTAACTTATAATTTTGCTAAGGCACCTATTTTAAACCTCTAATGAGACCTAATGAGAGAGTGCAGTCCAGCTTTCTAAGACACATTTTAAACAACTTCGATTTAAATTTATTAAAATGCCAACCCCATTCATTTAATTTGCACCATGGAAGGATGTTAATTGGGAACATTTCTAAAATAGGCCAGGATGAGTTTCATCCAGTTTTGACATATCATATAACAACCAATCGAGCCAGAAAAAGATTAGCAGTAACATCTTCTTCATAATATATTGGCATCATATATCCAATGAGTCGTTGCCTTCCCTTCTTCCTTAGAAAACTGACAGACAAAAAGTGAATCCTCTGAAAAGAATTCCAAATGTACAATCAGTGGAGAAAGGGGTGACACTTTATTTACAACCTGCAACCCTACGGCACACAATTAGACATTTTACAACTATGGGAAGATGTTACGGACGACAGAGGGGAACTTGTGTACTTTTTCCTCTGTCCTTCTTGTTTTTCTGGTTCACCTCGTAGTAAGTCATTTTTCTTTCGCAGCATCTGCCATGCCATCTGTCTCTGCTACAATATCTGGCATCGATAGCATGTTTTCCAATCCCAGAAAAAATCAGCCCGTATTCTAGTTCCTATTTCTCATGCCGCTGTGTTCTTCCCTGTAGTCACTGACAGTTCCTTGTGCTGTATGATACTCACATTCTTAATTCTCTCATTTCCGTAAATCCCCAATGTGTATTTTAAAATCTTCTCTTGAGCTCATTAGACAAGGGAAAGTTCATTCCAACGAGTCCTCCTGAACAGGGTAGACACAGAGCATTTGTGTGTCTGAGGACCTGCACTAGGAGGTTTTTTTGGATTGGTTTTCTGTCATCCCCAAGTGCCAGGCTAATTTCTCCATCTATTCTCTACTCATTGCTTTCAGGGAGGAAGTGATTGAGCATGACAGTAGGCGTGAAAGGAAGCTATAAACCATGTACCATTTGTGAATAACAGCAGAAAGAGAAGGCCCATTTTAATTTATATAGCTTTTTAAAAATGAAGGAAGAAAGCCAATAATTTGTTGATCTGAGAATATGATGAATTTTTGTATTAATTTAACTTTTAATTTAAAAAAAACAGTTGGAGTTGAGCCTTTTAACTTTTATTTAGAGCTTTTTGACAAAGCTAGTTAATCTCATAGACTCCCTGAGTCATTAGATATTATTCCTATTCTAATTACAGTTCAGTTTTTTTCCTTGTTAGCATGTCAACACAGACATAAAGCAATCCAGATGTCTTATTTCAAATAAGAAAGACAAGACCGAAGTTAGCTTTACCTAATTCCCATAATATCGCCATGCGAAACAACCCATTCCATAAGTACTTACTTCCTTCTAAACCATCCATTTTAGTGTCACCATGTGCAATCAGCAATCTGCGGATATTCAGGAATCTAGGCTATCCAATGACAGCACAGGAAATACAAGAAAGTGGCAAACACTGCGGCATCCCAGCTTTTCTACATTTGTTTTCACCTCCAGAACACTGGACTTAGATATTAAACATCCAAAGTAAAGTTTTCAGAACAAAACTTTAATGACCTAAAAACCTAGAAATATCACCTAACCACCATGGGTCATCCCTTCTGCATTTATATTTTATGATTTTCCCTGAAAGATACCCTCAATCTGTCCCCAAACACCATAATAATAACAGGAAGGAGTCTCTTGCATATAGTATATAACAGTGCTGACCAATACAAATATTATGCAAGCCACATGTGTATTAAAAATTTTGTTTTAGATACATTTAAAGAGTAAAAAGAAACAGGCGAGATTAATTGTAAAAAATATAATTTAACCCAATATATAAAAATTATTTCAACATGTAATCAATATAAAAATTACTAATGAGACTTTTTTTTCTTTCTTTTTTTTATATTGTCTTTCAAATCTGTTATATATTTTATACTAATGGAGCAGCTTAATTTGGACGGGTCACATTTCAAGTGCTCAATAGCCACTTGCGGTTAGTGGCCACTG